TATACACACACACATATATATATATATATATATATATATATATATATATATATATATATATATATATATATACATACATATATATATATAGATGTAAATATATAAACCTAGATACACACAGACACATATATATATATATATACCGATATATATATATATATATATATGTGTGTGTGTATAAATGTACACGCTCACATGTACATATATACACATATGTATATGACACATACGTACATATACATCTATCTACATACAGATACGTATACATATATACATACAAATACATAGACATATAATCATACACATACAGAGATATACACATACATAGACACGCACATACATAGAACATGTACATACATAGACATGCACATAATTGTATATGTACATATATAGACAAAATATGCATACACATACATACACATACGAACATAAATATACAAATATATACACATCGTGTTTTGCATGTCCTCTGGATCATATTTGGCGTCTCCTCGAAAATTATCGATTCCTTCAGGATATGTATTTATTGTTTTGAGGGTTGCCATGGTTTCGTTTGTGTTTTTGATTAACTTTTGGGTTTTTGAACCTTACTTTAATAAAAACGATATTTGTTTATTTCGTTCTAAAAACATGAAATAAACCAAATTTATAAAACAACTCATTCCGGGTTTTTCGTATTGATTCGTCAACGGCCAAGTAGTACTCATGGAATGGTTTCGGTTTTAAAATTGTTAAAATTGCCAATGCTAGTACTATAGTAATAAATTTAATTGGTCAATCAGAGCAATAATCACATATTTTCACAAAGTTTTAATGATAAACACTCTTGGCTTCCAGCGGTTTGCTCTAATTTATATACGTTTGGCCCAGGTCTAATGGTATCCGTTCTTCCCAGCCCTGTAATGCGTAGTATGTAGCTCCTTGGAGTAGAATTCAAGTACCGCACCTTCCAGAATTCACGTTTTGTTTATATATATATTTCCATACACACCCCGGCGCCCTGTTGCCTATGTCCTCATCTCATCAGCAACGACTATGAACGACTAAACGCCTATCATCACTCATGGCCTGGGCTCATGGCTCATGCGGTCATGCCCCCAATCCTCAATTCCTCATCCCTCACTCCTGAGTTCCCAGACTTCCATTTTTGTCTGTCCCACTGTCCCTCGAACTCCAGAGCGGAATTTTCACGGTTGAGAAAATAACGCGCCCGAGGGCCCCGGTGAACAGATAAAATAAACCGATCGAACTTTAGTCTACACAAGGACGTACTTTTTTTTTGATTACACAAGCAAGCAGTGAAGAAGAGAGGTTAATAAAACCAACGTACGCTCACTGCACAGGAGTCATAAATCGGTCAATATTGATTGATTTCAAAAGGCTATGCCAATATGCAGAAATTTACACTTGGTGCCGATTTTAGCTCGATTATACCATGTTATGAATATACAACGAGTGCGCTAGATGCGTCTATGAATCGATTTCTCTCATTGCTTGGCGGTGTGCAGGTTAAGAGTGATTGCAGCACGCTGAATTCGCACTCAGAACAGCTTGCGAATGACATGACTGTTTGTATAGACTTGGATATAGATTTTGACGACGACAGCGAAGACAGTGGAATCTTCACAACTGATTGTGCAGGGTATGACAATCCCATTTATACGCTAGTAAAAGATGACACATCAACCTTGGAAAAGTTACAAAAAAGTGATACCTCCACGTACACCCGACAAGAGAAATTACTCAGTTCGCAAGGTACACCAAAATCTATTTTAAGACGAGGAAAAGCCGCGTCGAGGACAAGGAGTGTGGTTTCTTTTGACGACACTACATATGAAGGCGAAACACACAGTCGAGCAGTATACAACAGGAAGGCTATTGGGATCACTGCCTCAAGTGCACAATTTGTGTACAAGGAACTGATGATGTACAAGTTGTTGTCGATGGTGGTTCACGACAGTTCAGTACACAATATGAACCTACACACAAGTAGGTGTGGAGGACAGGAGAGGGCCAGTAAGGAGAAGATAATTAACAATATATTGGCTGCGGCTCAGACGTGAGAAGCCTATTGACATAGTCATAGAAATTCTCGGAGAAAACGGAAAATAACTGCCGCCCCAAAGTTACAATACAATGTGCACGTCATATCGCAATAAGAATTGTGACTCTTGCTAAGGATTCACTACGGTAAAAGCATATTCAGCACAGTATTCGTCCACTGTGTGCACGTATACATACGCGAGATAAGATGAACGAATCTAGATCGTTTGGTCTGTCACGCAGCTCATAATTAAGAAGATTAGACCGCCCTCAATAAAAAGGTTCAAGGTGTTAAATGTGTGTTTTGTTTTCAGGTTGGGATGTTTATAACGTAGCGCCTCTGTTTGCGGGGGAGTTTGTGCTGTGCCTATTCTGATGTACAGGGTTGTAACACGAGTACGCTGACTATCACCAACCCTTCTGAATCTAGTATAGTACTTGATAAATGCATCTATTTCGAACATAGTACAGGACAAGAACAGATTACAACCATTTAGGACATAGCATACATATTACAACCATTTAGGACATAGTATACATATTACAACCATTGTGGACATAGTATGGTACTTATACACACTGCAACCATTGTGAGCATAGTATAATACTCGGAACATAATTCACCCAGTATGGACATCTTAAACACATCACAACCATTGTGAACATAGTATAGTGTTCAATCACACAAGTATTTCGAACATAATATAGTTCTCGAACACATTACAGCCATTGTGGACATAGCATAGTACTTAAACACATATCGTAGTACTTGTTCACATTACTATTTTTGTGGGCATAGTAAAGTACTTGGAAGAACACATTACAACCATTGTGAATATTGTATAATATTTAAATACAAAGGAAGAAGTGACAATCAGTGAACGCTCACACTTGCCAGGCAGGTGCGTGTGAGCACCGCATAGTACATTTGTGGCCCATGCCACAAGTCGCTGTGCCCTATATACAATGGGTGTCATCTGTAGCACCGCTCACATATTTCACACGATTAGCACACAATAAACAATACTACTTCTGCTGCGGAGATGTGTATGTTGAGTGTCTACCTTGTTGGCGTTTAGAGCTCAAGACATGTAGATGCACGTGTTATAGTCGACAACGGTAATGTGAACCTAAAAAACGCTCCGAAAACCAGGTTTAGGACTGGTGCGAGACCGAAAACGTTAGGGACAGATGCAGATCTCCCCATGATATATATTAACGGGTATCCCAATGTAGGGCCCAGATGCTCTAGGTACCAAAGCATATGCCGACGTTATAGTGTGCACGGGTCTACATTGTGTGCGGTGTAGTGTTAAGCATGTATGTGTATACGTATATA